CACACACACACACACACACACACACACACACACACACACACACACACACACACACACACACAGATAAGATTGTGCCAATACTCATTTTGCGCAACTGCTTCGGTATAAAAGCGCAAAAGGAAACCAGCATTTTTTTTTTCATAAGAAAGAAAGGCATTTAAACACAAAATTACGTTCGAAATTAATTACTCAGTTGCGATTGCAGTGATGTAATTAGAGGAAAGTTCTGAGCTTGAAAGTAGTCAGAACCATACCATTGAGCGAATTAAATAGTTAAGATGCTCCTCAATGAATTCATTGAATTCCTCGTCATCCTCGGTTATGGTTTCATCCTAGAAATGCATGAACAGTTAACTTCTTTAATAAGAGAATAGTACTACCTGAACAAGACAATATCATAAGGAATATTTTGTCGCTATGAAAATATTTGTTGTGGATTATCAAAGTTAAAAAAAAGAAGGAACTTTTTTGTTCGGAATACACCAACGGCAACTTAAAGTGATTTTTTTTTTTGCAGAGGGATGAAACTCTAAAAATTTTTGTGCTGAGCAGCGTGAGGCAATCAAAAACAATGTGACAAGAGCGACAACTAAAATGCGTGAAAAATTATATACGACATGTCCGTTTTACCTTGGTTTTAGTGATCTCGCTTAATCCCGAGCTGCCTCAAAATGTCAAAGCAGACGGCAGTTCTGACGAATAGTCAAGTCAGTGTGATTTTTCCCAACCTTTTTTTTATGCGTTTCGCATACATGCAAACGCAAAAACGCACACTGGTAGGTGTGTGTGTGTGTGTGTGTATGTGTGTGCCTGTGTGTTAGCAGTTTGTCACCACTTTCAACAGAAAAGCTAAAAGGCTGAAACTTTGGGAGTATGCGCTCACATCATGTGCGATCCTTCCGTTTTAATATAATTACCCGCGTACGCCGGGATGTCGCGTATGGGCGCTTTAGAAAAATGTGCAAATTTTTTGGCGGAAAAGCGATCTCGGGAATCAGAAATGATGGAGACTTGGAACTTTATAGGGTCATGAAATTGTTCATTTCTTTCATGCAAAATTTTCGATGATTTAACGCTAGTGAGCGCAAAAAGGAGGTGTAAAGTACTAGCCATACTTCAAGACTGGCCCAAAAACATAATAGCACCAGCAAGCCTGGTGCATTCCGGCCTGGATTACTCATAGTTTTCAAGCGAGCAAGGGTGTTCTGTCTGTTTTTGCGAGCCAGATTCAGCATTCTGGCTAATTGCTCAAGTCGATGTAACTAGACAGTTCACATACGTTTGGTGGTGACGGAGTTGGTTGTTCGTCGTCATCGAGTGCCGAGAGGGAGGGTTCTTCCTTGTCCTGGGATGATTCGGATGATTCGCTTTCCGGATACTAAAAGTTGTTAAGTTACGGTCAGAAATTTTCAAGTTTTTGTAGATAAATCAAATATGACTTGTCGGCAAAAAACTGTAACTTCGTCCAAAGAACAAAGTGGGAATCTAGAAAGCAAAACCTAAGAATACCAACGGAGTGGGCACCAGGTAATAGGGCTTTAGTCAAAAAAAACCTTGTAGAGATCCCTAACAACATTGATATGCCGAAATAAATCATGATAAAACGAACATGAATCAAAATATCAAAATTAACAGCAATAGAACAGGACAAGCGAAGGAATGAATTCTTTGAATTTAAGTCATAATTGAGTGTTAACACTTTTAAATCAAACCTCATCAACATCTGTCAACGGTTCC